TAGTGCAGGCTTACCTGAGCAGATTGTGAGACTGTGGATATAACCGGGTTATGTACGCCGTCTGAATTATAAAAAAAAACACCATGGGAATGCATAGCTAGATTCCTATTGGCTATTTCACTTTGCAATAGCAAACTAGCTATTGCACATGCCCTCTGCTGCTGTCAATCAGCAGAGGGGACCTGATGGAGAACTGCAGGTCCCCCTCTGCTTTCCATTCTGATTTCCTGTGCTTGGGGGGATTTTTCTTGCCATGGTGATACTGTGGGCTTTTTCTTTTTATGTAAAGTTTTACATAATGATTACTTTTGGCTTCACCACCCAGGGAAAAGCCAACAGAATGTCTGGCATACCTCCAGCGATAATAATGGATTCAGCATGTTTAGGGTAAATTCTGAGTAGAATTTTTATTGAAAAGCCCGAGGAGGAGATTTTTGATATACAATAACTGGCAAAAATTTGTCTTCAGAATCAACTTTGCTTGCCATATTTGCAATAAATATACCAGCACCTTACAATAAACCAGCAAAGAAAATCCCCAGCGCAGCTTTACGAGTCAGTGAAATGAACGGAATCCATTGTGGGAAATATGAGGACACTATTTCACTTCTGTCATTTTTATAAATACAGAAACATTCTGCAGGCAATGTTTATAACTGAAGAAGTATCTGGAGGATTACATTTCCCTGGAAGCCGAAGATACTTCCAAAGCCTGTACTGTGATGGTGGTATAATTGCTACTTCACTGTGTGGGGGGCCCCTGTCCTGCTTTGCAGTGTCACATTTGCAGAAACTTCAATTGGACTTTGAAAGTAACTCCAAATTTTGTAACCGAGCTGATAATTTGGTGATTCCTCCATCCCTCCATTGTAGAATATTCTAGCATGTTGTTGGTAAATTCAGCGGTGTTAAAGGTATCCTTTTTTTTATCATCCAGTTCCATGTGTTTGGGATTTGTGTCTGGCAGTGTCAGTCATAGTTAAAATGCCCTTTCCTTCTCTCGGTGGATGGGTTTAGTGAAGTGGTCCGGAAAGGATTCTCTGCAGTCTGTGCATTCTACCGGAAGGAAGAAATCTGTGAACAATTTCCCATGTGATGATCTGATGAGCAGGTATCCGAGGATGATGAACATGGTACGGTGGGGGGAATCCAGGTCGAGGTTGATGTTGCTGCCATAGAGAGCAGGTTTATAGACTTGTCATAGCTTTGCAGACTGTGTTAACCAACATAAGATTCTCCCAGGAGTTCACTGGAGTCTTACGCATACCGCCTCATTATTTATCACCCCCCTGTCAATTTATGTTGTAATTGTGCTGCTCCTTAAGTGTGACAGTCACAATCCATATACTCCCAAAACCTGCCAGCTACTTTCTTTCTTCCTGTCTCATGAGAGGGATTTCCATGGAAGAACCACAGAGTATTTTTTTTTTCATATTTTTGCCTCGTTTGTCTAAAGAGATGAAACTGAAACCGGGGGGATGTTTAGTGAAGGAAAGCTTAAGGCAGACGTTCTGAAGTCCACTAGTCAATTTTTCAGTATTACACAAGCACAGTCAGATGTTAATATAACATCTCCAAACACCAGTTGAAAGTTGAAAGAAAGCCCATTATGGGTGTCACCAATATGGTGATGTCAGTGGTAATACAAATAAATGGTAAGAGGCAGGCAGTAGGTGGACAGAACCGCAGCCTGAATAGTGTTGTCACTCCCTCTGTAGGCTCTGCACAGGTATGGCGGAAGGTCATTTCTAAATGAAACCAGCATTCAGAAACGTTGTTTATTACAGTTATTAGCAAAAGGGAAACAGTATAAAGCGCACAATGTAAATGTAAAAATGAATATTCAAGATGTGACTTGGGTATTTTTCAGCCATGCTATCTATATAGCTTTGATTATCTATCTAACGATCTGTCTAGTGATATCTTTTATTATCTATTTATCAATGACATTTTTGCTATCTATCATATAAATCATGTTGTTCTATCTCTATCTATGGTGTCTCCTATCTTTGTCCTTCAATCTGTCTATGATCTCTATCTATCTACTATTTTTTACTTGCCTTCATTTACATGGTATTGTCTGTTCACCCCTAAAGTGCGGCAGTTCCCCTGCTTTTTCCCTGTATATATGATGTGTTGTCTGTCTTGCAGGCCCTTCCCCTCCGAGGACACGGCAGAAAACGATGACGACATATACCGAAGTTTGGAGGAACTGGCAGAGTGAGTTTTGTCTATAATGCTTTATATCGAACTGTAAAAGTATTGTGGGGTGCATGGGGGGAGGGGGG